AATTTTTCTTTGTAGAATATATCTAATGTAGTTACAATAGCAGAGAAATACTATATACGCTTGTTAAAAGTAGATTTGATACTGTAGCCAAGATGCGGTATACATTCTCTATCATTCCTAAGCAACGCGTGGACGGTGATCTGACAGTACCAAATGATCTGTGGAGTGCCACGATGTTGCCACAGGCGCTTCCTCAACATTATTAATTGTTTTATACGCGACTTAAAACATTTATTTTTCCAGTTGCACCATCACAATTATCAGAAATCAGAGATCGTAGCAAAGCTGCGGTCCGGAATAGTAAAAAAAAGTCTGAACACTCGCCAGATAAATTTTTCGCTAAAACGAACGCTATTGCCGTAGTTTTTAACTAGACGTAACTTCGATGCATGCGACTACGATAAGTTACACTTCAGTCCGTTGTAAATAAAAAGGAATGCACTAACATTCAGACAAACATACGTGTTCTTAACAACGTTAACTTGTCAGTCCGATAGAAATGATAAAGGTACTTTAATTTTTAAGCGAAGCTTAAGCGTAGATCAAAATACAAAATGTTTTGCAGCAGTTAAGTACGAAGCTAAATGCAGCTGTCGTTATTGGTGATGTTTCATTACTGTCGCATATACAGCTTGATTGCGTAGATGTCAAAGATATGTTTATAAATGTGGACACATTTATCTATCTATATATACGTCGTCTGTTTGTGCGATATTTCTATTGTTTTATACGCGTAAAGTGTATGTAAAAAAAAATATATATATATATAAATATATATAATATCGTTGAGCAGCCTAATGGCGCGAACTTCTCGTTATAACGTTAATCGATAATGCAGTCGAGCTGAATGTACGGAATAACACGAAATATTGTGCAGAAATTATTTTCGCTCATTCAAGGTGACTTTAATTAAAGCCAATTAACATGTTCACTGTCACCGACGCGCAGGCGCGTCCAATTATAATTTACGCTTGTGCCATCTAAGGCCACAATTCTGAGCGCCCAAAATTTTATACAGCCTGTCCTCGATGACTTTATATCGACTCGCTGAAATCACTTTTTAAGAAAAGTATATCAAAATGTTTCTGAGAAAAATAAACCGAAAGATTAGTGATAGTAAACGTGTTAATTCAATGACTTCTTCGGTTATTTTGCGATGGCTACCGTGTGCTTGAACAAACTTGCTGTTGCGCCAATATTTGTTAGTCTTCCGTATTTTAATTTTGTAATAATAAAACGAGAAATCTTTTTTAATATAGATTTGATAATACGTGTAAAAGTATTTATATATGTTACATTCAATTTGTCTAATTTTACACATCCCTCTTCCGCAGCAAAGTATACTATGATAATACGTTTCCTCGATTCGAAAGATAAAAAAACTACGAGAAAAAGGAAGAAGACGGGAAGTCTTGTGGAATTGTGTAAAGTTCAAGCCGTTAGTTCGCTGGCGATCGGTATAACTCTACCTAAAGTTCGATCTACTTACTGCTGTGATATACCGTAGCCAAATCAGTTCAAATATAAATAAAGCGAGACGTGATGTCAGAGGAGTTTTTCATTAATACCTTGCGTTCTTAAGACAAAAAAAGTAATAACAATTCCTGAAACTACATAAAATATGGAAATTCCATATCATATCAACACACGTATCTCTTCGACGACTGATACGCGGAAAAAAAATTACTGCCATGGAAAATTTTGCGCCGCAAAATATGTTAATATGTTAATTACATGTCATATATTATATATTATTTCATGGCCAGCAAACAGATTTGTTACGAATACTAATTTTATTCGCTGAAGTTTAAGTTTCCCAAATCTGCAAATTATAAATTATTTTGTTGTAGCAGCAAATTAATGTGTCTCGAACAAACTCAGGAAAAATTATTTATTCTATCCACAAAACGTATTTTTGCTGATATACCGATTAATTTAAAAAATTAGTTACAGTAAAGAAATTTTTCCGCTATTACATCTAATATGCAATAACAACGACAATTTTGCTGTGATAGCAAAATTCTTTTTTTCTCGCGTATAAAGCTTGCATGCATCGTACGTTCAACACCTGGATTACGCTATCTCACTCGCTCCATCATGTATTCTCCGCGCGGCTCGCGTGGCAAATGTTGGAGCGGTCGACGCGGTGATAAATCGCAGACAAATCATCCCAAATAAATAGCGAAAGGCGTCACGCTAAGGAGATCGATGAATATTATCATGACATTTCGCACTCGTGCCGACCTTGTTCTCCCTCTGTCTTCCCTCTCTTTGCTCTCCCCCCCGTTGATCGGCTCGTTACGAGCGTCAGATGGTAGGCGCATCACAAATAATTATGCTTCCAGCGTCCCAGCTACATTTATGACATAAGATATCGCGAGATTTAGTCTGTCCCAATCTATCAATCGCACCATCTGCCATTGACGACGCTGCCCGAGTGCTCGGTGTTAATGGCCTTTTAAAAAGGCTGCCGATCACGCCAAAATATCGAGCGCTACAAGCAAAAAACGCCTGATTGAATTTTTTTTTACAATGATTCTACACTAACAAAATCTGGAGACAAAGAATCAATCAAATCCTAATTAAATTTTGAATGTTCTTATGTAATTTATTCCACGTGTCGTGTTTCTCAGCGTTATCTGAAATATAACAAAACAAACACGGAAACGTGACAATGATTTACAGCACATATATCGTAAAAATAATAATACGTAATAATACAATCACCTTGACTATGAACAATTAATGTCACTCAGGAAAAATATCTGATGTAGCAACGATTATCTATTTGCTCTACTAACAATATGCATTATGATAAAGCGCGCCTTGCTTAATCAATAATCGTCGTAGAATCAACAATGTAACGTCTATAAATTAGATCCGTTCACAGAGTGGTCGTTAGTTCTCGTGTTTGGTTGGCTTCGTCAACATGTTATTCCTCGCTCTCGGTTTCACGACCATACTGGCGGCCGTGGTCGCCCAGAAGGATCCGCATTATGTGGACGATAGGACTACTATGGTCCATCTGTTTGAATGGAAGTTCAGTGATATCGCCAAGGAATGCGAAGACTTCCTTGGTCCAATGGGTTACGCAGGTGTGCAAGTATGTATGATAATCTTTATTATATAAAATAACAAAATTATATTAATATATATTAATATAATTAATATAATAATATATTTAAA